CGTCGCGGTGGGCGGAGTCCGGACAGGTGAAAGGCGGAGAGGGCGGGGTGCTCCCACACAGTTGCAGCTTCTTGTCTATTTTTGTTTGGTCAACAGAATTGTTTGATTTTCGGGTGCCGCGTCCGAATGGTTACTTTACAAATACCTATTTAAACAGCTGCAGACGCGGAACCGTGCCGGCGAACTTTCGTTTACTCGTTCAGCGGGGCACACATTTTTATTGGAAAGCGGCTTTAATGGACAAAGGCGGAAAAATGTGGGAAATTGCCATTGCGAGTTGTATGAGTAGTGCGCTAAGTATGGACAGTTCAATTGTAGTGCTGTCAAAATAAGAAATCAAATGTGATTATTAATAGTAAAATGAACTGACTTCCAAGCCCAATGCTGATCAAGAGAATCCACGCTTTATAGCATTGGAAAAGCTGCCTTTCACTTGCTACATACTGTTTTACTTGAAATGAGCGTGTCAAAAGCAAACATTTTTATGAAAAACCGCCGTCAATCGCCGATAAATTCCATAGAAGGGCATTTTGAATGCCAAGAATCCACAATGGAGAATCGGTTAATTGGACTCGTGACTGGCACGCTGTCTTCTCTAGCACACAGCCTAGTGTACTCCGCCCAGATGCACGCACACCAGCAATCAATTCAATCGGGCGGACATTAAGCAGCAGTGTTGCTGGGAATGGGGCGAAAAACCAAATCAAACATTAATGCAATAAAATGGAAAACGCGTTAACAGCAATTGCTTCAGTGGCCAGCTCTGGCAGCCGGCTGCCAGCACATCGCAATCAGTGCCTAGTCCACGCAGGAGCTGAGCGCTGGGGGATTGGAATTGGGATTGGGAATGGGGCTGGCAATGGGATTGGGATTGGGCATGGGAATGGGAATGGGGCCTAAAAGCAAGCTGCGCCGAGAGCCGAAAGCGAAAATCAATGCCACTGACAGGCGAAACCCCACAAAAGCGCCTAAGTGAGCGACAGGACGACCGCCGCCGAGTGAGCAACAATGGAAGGTGAATTTGATAAGTGGGTGGCTGGGTGTTTTCGGGGGCGTGGCACACCCATTTGTTGCGGCCCAGCTACATAACTGACTTTCGCACACAGCCAGAAGCAGCGTCTAATGCGACAATTAGGACGGTGGTTTTGGGGGCGTGGGGCGCCGTCACAAAGGACGGGAGCTGAAAGGTGTATCCAATTTGGGCTGGCAACTCTCATTCGTGTACTGTCGAAACACCATTACTTTGCCATCTAACTACCAGAATGCATAGCATTTAAAAACCAGCCTAGTTCCTGCACCAAAATAAATAAAGGCAAATTATTTTAATGAACACCAGGCTTAGAGTGCTGCAAAGTGCCAGTCGGCATTAAACATCGCCCATTACCAACTGTTTACAAATTGACAGTAACAAGGAAGTCCTAAAATTGAATATGCCGAATTCAAATATTGATTTCTTTACCAGAAAAAGACATTACACTCCCCGCATTTTGGCAGAGTGTGGTGTGCTGCGATGGTTTTCCGTTCCCCGCCATTAGTTTATCGAATGTTTTGCCACATTGTTTTGCCTCGGCTGTCGGCAGATCCAATCAGCCCCAGTAGCCCCCGTTTCCAGTCCGGGTCCCAAGTCCCACCGACGTCTGGAATCCCTTAATGTGTTAATGTGCTTTTTATGTTACAAATGAGTCAATTTTTATGATTTAAGGCCTGTGTTTGCTCCTTTTGCCTCATCGAACTCGAGTTTTGATAACGGTTTGGCATTTCTGTGCGTTGAGCATCGTTCTCAATCACTGCCTCGAGGAGCAGAAAGTTTCTCTGCGCTACATATTTCATTAGAAATAAATTGCTTATTGAATTATTTATATCATTTTATTCAATTTCTCCACCGCCGCACATAATGTCAAAGCATCCGTGCCATTGATGCGGATGCTTAAATTGATACTTTTAAAGCGGCGATTTCAATTGCTTTTCGTTTACAATCCCTTAATTTTCCAAGTATTAAAGTAGGCCCACCGTCCACTTTCCTTAAATTGCTTCAATTATCCAGTGCCGAGCTCGTGGCAGGAGCTCTCCATGTTCCACGGATATTCGAGCGATAGAATGTATTAAAGTGTAGCCTACATTCAGGCGCCGGAAATTGTGGGTCGAATCGCCTGTCAAAAATAATGTCCAAAATTTATGCCGAGCACATACATATGCATGTGCATACACACGCAAGTGGCTGATGCGTGATAATGTGAGGGGGGAGAGTCCACTGGAGGGGCGACGCATATTTTCATGAAAAGACATCCATCAAAATTCACGCATGGCCTTTCCGTGCATCCCCAAACACGGCGAGTGCCGCACATTGTCATTTCCCAGCCATGAAAGTGAAAAAATAGTGGCAGATATCGGCAAATATAGGCGCACACTGCCGCTTGCGAGGGAAAGTAAGGCTAAATTAGGCAAAGAGTTTTCGGTCACGAGAGGCTCGTAAAGAACGGCGATGGCATAATTTGCACTCAGGCTTAGTTTCGCCTTTGTTTCTCGAATTGGAGCTCAAATGTAGGCTACCAAGGTAATAAGTTTCATCGACTCCTGTGGTTCTCCCAAGTGGCCGAAATGCACGATATAAATCTTGTCGAAACGGAACTTAAAGACCAACTTTGGCCGCTTGAATGTGGAAAACAAAGTTTTTCATTTTTCATACAAGAAAGTGAATTTCCCTGCACTCCTGCCCCCTCACCATTCACCCGTCACCCTTTCTCGCTGGTTTTGTGTCTCATGTGGAGCCACCTTTTCCATTTGTAATAAAATTCATATGACTTTGGCGCATGTTAACCAAAAACCCAGCTCGAAGACGGTCGAGGGCATCATTAGGCTCGGGCACGCACACGCTGATGCACCGCAAAAAATGGGGCCCCAAAACATCCCAACTAATTTCTTTAAGCCAATAACTTAAAAGAATTGTCCATACCAATCAGATATTCATTTTACTGGAGCATGCACTTTCTTTTTGAAGCATCTGGCAATGATATCCTTTTTTCCCGGTGTAGTTACTCCAATCGCACGGCAATTTCTTCCCGGCAGAGGGCGCCACATGCAAAACGCCATGTGTGACATTTTTACTACCAAACATTTGTTTTGCGCACCGGAGCTGCTGCCCCCAATGCCTGTACAAAGTACATACCTCCATATACATATGTGCACAGGGCCGTAGGGGGGCGGGGAAATGGTTGGGGGTTGCGGGTTGGGTTGCTGGGGCTTGGGAAAATGAAAATAAAGGGGGAGCGGTCGGGGCAGTCAACACGTACCAGGGCACCGTGGTCGCCTGCCTGTCGTTTGCCTGTCGCTGGCCGCTTTTCTGTTGACTTTGCATAATTTTATTGCTTTTCTTTTATTTTTATGCGAGGTCTCCTTTTTCCCGCTCAACTCCCCCTCCCCCTCCCCCTCCCACCGCCCACACGCCGTGCCCGCAGGCGACATTGACATTATAATCAATATTTCTGTTACTCCACTCATACACTGTTTGTTTGCTCGTGGATCAGTTGTAGCGTTTGCTTAAATTTTATGGCTGCGCTGTCTGTAACTGTCGTTTGGAGATGCCTCATACTCTGCGGTTCCAATTTTTGATTTCACATACATAAAATAGTATAAGCTATGCTATTATAAATTGCTGTATCCTAAAAAGGTCTGAAGGCCCTGCCGCAAAGTATAGATATACAGGTTATATTGTCTATTACGACCAAAGGAATGGTGTATACCAGATTCGTTGAAATGTATGTAACAAGCAGATCGAAGGGCTTCCGACCCATTAGTCCTATAAAGTACCTATGGCCATGCCATCCTGTTCGTCCGTATGAACTTTAAAGCCTCGGGAGCTAATAGGTCTCATTATACCTAGACACTATAACTATATGTAGAGCCAAACGCTTCAGATCTAGTATTGATAGGTAGGTAGTCACTTCAAAATCCGATGAGGATAAGTTGAGTTATGGAGTTTAGAAAATCAGCCTTAGGACATTTCTTAATTTTTTTGAAATTTTACAACATATCATAAATAAAATTAAAAAAAAAATTTTAAAAATATGAATTTTTAAATTTGAATGCAGATTTTTAGAGAATTCATCCAGAAACATTTAGAAGTTTAGAAAATTATGAATATACCTCTTTTTCGGGAAACAAACGGAAAATTTAATGTTGTCTTTAAGACACTTTTTACCCCAAATACGAGTATTAATCGAAAAAGTTATTGTTAATATCTTGTTTTGTTTCCGAGATTCGTTTGTGTTTGCCTCGTTGAGTTCGACTTTGTCAATATTCCGCGGTTCCTTGTCTTGTATCTCATTCTGAAGATGATTTTAGTGCTCGTAAAAATGTTTACAGAGATGGTGGAAGAGTTTATTGCACAGCACGGCATTATGAATTTGATGGCTGGGATCGTCTGTGTCCGTGGTCAGCCCTTGACTTTCTAAATAATTTCCAGGATATTCTTACCTCTGTCGAGCTTCAGCGGATAAAGATAAATCAGGAACGCACTTTCCCACTCTTTATAGCGAGCAAATAAATGTCAGCGAAATATAATGTGGCCATAAGTTGTATCATTATTCTCGATGTGGATGTAAATTTTCTGCACATGTTTCTGTTCGACTTGTTGTTGCTGCTGCTGTATTTTAATTTATGTCATTGTGTGTTTGGTGTTTCTGTTGTTTTTTCCTTTTGTCACAAACGACATAAAGGCATTTAAACACGCCATTAAATAATTCATAATAATAATGTTCATGTACACGCAGGAAATGAGAGGAATGTCTTATACAAGTATGTGCGTGTATGTATACGTGTGCGTACTATACAAACCCACACACACAGGCACACTCGTATTCGTCATATTATGATTCAAATTTAATGCATGTTTATCATTTTCAGTCAGCATCAGGGACACGTGTGTGCCATGATATAGGGGCCAGTGTTTTAAGTTCGGCATGGGCAAGCTGGCCCGGTCGATTGAGGATGGAGGAGCTTACCTGGCATGCTGGGGTCCCACATTTCCCATGTCATGGGCCGAACTGGCCGTTATTTGAAAGTCGGCGATGGCGCCAGATTCCATGCCCAAGGCCTGCTTGCAGGTTCCTGTGAAGAGAAACGAGATCTGGTCAAGTGAGGTAAGGAAAAGATGAGATGAGAAATCACAACTAATTAAAGAACGAGATATTCAATCAAGGAAGACAATGCTGCGGAATGCCGTAATTGGAAAACAAATCAAGAGACCTTTCCCTATGCGTAAATTAATTGCTGAATGCCGCGGACAAAGCTCGGAAAATTGGACGCGATACTGTGCTCCTATCATTTCAGCAACTCAATTTTCACTCGCCATCAATCTGTGAGAGGGAATGAAAAGCGCAATTATCATCACCGCTCAAAGAATGATGGGGCCCCGGCCTCCAAGGGACCGCGATGGGGTCATGAATAGGTCGTTGAGACATCGCAGACATCATCATCATCCCCTCGGCTCTGTGCCAGTTGTTGCTGCTTCCACAAAATATCGAGAATATTATCATTCTGTGAATAATTAGATGCAATCAGTCAGTGCTTAAGCACCATAAGTCAAAGCTGAGCACCGCCCCAGCGCTCCAGACAAGGGTTAGGCCCATTCCCATTCCCATACCCACTCGTCCACTCATCCACTCCCACCGAGAAAGCTGCTTTGGAGGCGGTCAAACGCGCCATCTGCAGATATGGATATGGATATGGATACCCATGCTCGCAGTGACCCTTTTCGTAGTTTCTTCTCGAGTCCACGGAATAGCTCAAGACAACGAGGGCTGCTCAGATAGTTTTGGAAAGGTTAGTGGGTTGAAAATACAATATACCCTACAGTATTCAAGGCACTCGGCAGCTGACTAAATACTTTAAATATTTATAAATATTACGCAAACGTAATTTAAAATAGAAACCGCTTAGGATGATTGATACGCAAATAAACTTCATACAGCGCACTTTTGACTGAAAACTCTATTATTCGGCAATAGGAAAACGATTGATAATTATTGATAAACAAATTTGTTTCAGCATCGCAGCGCTTGAAGTCAACAAATATTCATCCGCTTCACTCGCATTGCCCTCGTAATGTTTACTTACATAAACAATATTTATGTGTTCAATGCTGCCAAAGCATCGTTTTTCTGTTTTTCCGTTTAACCCGTTCTTTCTGCAGTTCTGAAAACTCATTTAGTGAAAACGCAATAGCTTAATTATGCACAGACGGCCAGACTTGGCTGGAAATGTTGCAATCATTCAACTTCCACTACTTTGAACATCACTCAATATTAACATAAATAAATTATTTTTAATTATTGAAAAAGATACAAGCTTGTACAACTGTAGAAATGCAGAAACTGTGGCACTGAGTGCTTTCCGTAATTGATGGATGATCCCGATTTGGACTCCAGCATATCCATTATAACAATGGACCACTCGCCAGCATTTCCAGTCTCCGGAGGACGGATGATTGCCAGGGAAGTGGAAAAAGTATGCCAACTCAAAGGCGACGGCCTGGCAAATGCTTGGTGGCTTTGAGCATGTTATATTTGGCCGAATAAACAAAGGTGGCGAGACCCGGGAAAACATCTCCCTGGGAGGAAACTATTTTGCGAAACTTTGACGGCGAAATGCAGAACTGCAAAGTGAAAAGTAAACAAAGCTCTGCGCACAGTGGTGCGCAGTCCGAAAACCATTGTTCAAAGTTTTCAGCCTGGTTGCAACTGATCAAATCAGTTAATTATTCACTATTCTATGCACAAGCGTTCTATACAGCTTAGATACAGCATATCTCTTTTCTAATGAGACAAACAAAGTCACGGAACTCAAACTGGAAGCTACAAAACTCAAATACGTAGCCAAATATATTGAATTCTTAATAACTCAACCATCTGAGAAACTTAGATCTACAGAAAATATGTGTGTTTGAAACTCAATTTTTTAGTAACTCTACCTTATAAATACCATCTGAGAAACCCAGATCTACAGAAAATATGTGTGTTTGATAAGGAAAAAGAACTTTATGATAATAGATAGATAGAACCCAGATCTACAGAAAATATGTGTGTTTGATAGGAAAAATCACTTTATGATAATAGATAGATAACCAATTTGATGAATCAAAAAAAAGAAAATATATTGTTCCAGGTTTCTGGTCACTGTGCGGCGGAGGAACTCCAATTGTTGCTGCTGGAAAAGTTCTGAGCAGAATAAATTGCACAAAATTTAATTAACTGCACTTGAGTGCGCTGCCCGGCCGCTCGTGCTGCTTCTTCCCTCTGTCCGCTGCAGTTACGCGTGTGTGCGATAATCATAATTCAAAGTTCCCTCTTTGGCCGGGCGGGCAAAACAAGCAAACAAAGGAAAACACCGCGAAACTTTATGAAATTGAAAATTACACAATTTTACAGTTCAATGCAGGGCGAAAGGATCCTCGGGGGGCCAAAGGTCCTGATATGTGCTATATGTGCTATATGTGCGGGGCTAAGCCCTGAAAATTGCTGACAAACAAAAGGGATACACTTTCAGCTGCAGCCGGAGTGCGAAAATGGAAAATCTGGCTGCAAACTCAGTTATGCAAGCATTTTCCGGGGGATCAAACCTGTCTGGCGAGCCTCAACCACTTCGCTGTTTTGAGGAACTCAGCTATCTGGAATGTTGATTTTGGCTAAGTGGCATTCTGCGATCGCATTGCAGGGTATTCAGCCGCCGCCACTCCAGCGGAATGGCGAATGTTTGAGTACCGTGCACACAAAGGCAGTGGGAAAAGTTTCTGGGCGGCCGAAACAGCGAGGAAATAGCGAGCAAAACGCGCCAGAAACGCGCTTAATGACGCGTATCTGCTGGCGCTCATAAACAACAAAAGCAACAGGGCGTGCTTTATGACCAGGTTTCTACCGCCCCCTCATCCGATCCACTCCATCCCATCCCATCCCATCCCATCATACTGGGCAAACAGAACTTTTGGCCACGGCCTGTTGAAGCTGAAAGTAAGCTGAAGCTGAGAAGGGGATTCAAGAACTGTGTAAACAAATTACGCACGTATTTTAATTGGCTTTCAATTGGGGACGACGAGCGGGAGTATCTTATGAATGCAATTAAAAAGTAGCTGACCGTACAACTCTGGACTGAATGAGCTGTGAAAACTGGCTGCCCAAGTGACAACCCTATTATTCGCCAAATTAAACAAAACAAGAAGCAGGCTTGATCCGGCAAGCCGAAGCTAATATACCCTTGCAGATTTTCGAATTTGCTAAATAAAAAATGTAGTGAAAAACAATTAATGCTCTAAAACTAGGAGACTTTAAATTCTTTTAAAATTAAAAGGAAACTACATATTGTCAAAAAAACTGGTGTGTACCAAATCAGAACATATTGTGCTTAAAAACAACGAAACTGTGATTTCTTCTACACTATTTGTAATTAATTATCCGACTGTTCCTATGACAGTTACGTGAAAAAACCCTCCGATTTGCTGCTCTCCCATGTGCAAAATATGTGCCTGTATCTCCGTTTGCAAATTAATTCATTTGGAGCTAATTAAATTCCGATCGATCATCATTTAATATAGTTTTCCCAAGCGCCACAAGTATCTTTTTTGCGCACTCCTTTCCTACAGCTGCACTTTAATTTCCAGCCAGCAGCTGTGGCTAAGTGTCGTATTTACTTTTGATTACCATCGAAACTTTCTGCTACCGGCACTTAAAATGCTGATTTTATGGTGCTGTGGAATCGCCTCCGAGCTCGGGCCAAATTACATGCATTGCCGTAGTTTCGCGTTCAATTTATTGTGCTGGCCACTGTTTCTGGCAACACAACATCTAATACCCATTCATATCAGGTTTTCGGCCCGAGTTTTTCCGCACCACAAAAGTGGGCGGTCGGGACGAGGTATTAACTTGTTCGAACGCAAGACAGTTTGCAGCTAGAAGGTAAAAGTGGGCCACGCTTTGGAAATTATATTCCAAATTTTATGCGATTTTCATGGATTACTACTGGTTAAAAGCATGGATTAGTGCTAACAACATTGCTCTACTCATAAAGAAATATAATTCGATTTTTGTCAATTGTAAAACTTCACCCAACTAAACTCATTCGGGTTGAATGAAATTGGTAGCTTAACTTGAAGTAAATTCTGTAGTATATAAATATCCGAAGCTGCGTGCATTTCCCAATCGATTCAGTGTACATATCATTTTCTGGGCAGACACCACTTGACCTCCAAAATGTTGACTGTCGCACATTTATCATGCACTACACACCCATGGGCTTATTGGAGGAGGGTTGGATGGAGGGTTCGGGCATCCCGATCCATGGGCCAGTTTTCAACGCACATTTCAAAACGATTTATACGACCATTTAAACGGTCTGGGCCTCAGCATTATCAATTTAAATACAGAGCAGAGCCGGCTCGGCAACTTGGCCAAAAGGGGACCAAAGTGGTTCGAAGTAATTTTTTATTCGCTCGCTGCAGAGCGATTCGAAAAGCGTTTCAACGTGCCCACGGTCAAATGAAATATGGCAGTCACTTGTCGGTATTTACGTATCGCAAAATGTGTGTACTCAACAACATATCTATGGATACAGATACACAGACACAGATACGGGTACAGATAGATAAAATGGTAGCGGTTTTAAAGACATACGTATCCAAATCCAATTCTGCTAAGTATTCACCATAATTACAAGCTAAAGCTGGGGTAAAAAAGCGATTTATGATTATTTTTGAGTGTGTGCTGTTATCTGTATGCTGGGCCATATAATATATATTGTTGCCGCCTTCCAAATGCTGAAAACAAGTTGACGGCTCACAGCAACCAGCAACCAGATAATTTGTTATGCTCGCCAGACGAGCAGCAAAAAACAAAGCCCCTTCAGAGGGACCACACACGCACAGGTGAGCGGTGTATCTTGTATCTTGTATCTTGTATATACACTATATAGTGGATCCCGGGTCTCGGCCAATCAGCAATGGTAATGAGCAGCAACAGCCGCCGAGGAGCAGTTGTGTCCGAGCGACCGAAGATGCAGTCATCTATCAAAAGAGCCGCCGTGGAGCTTCGATTTGGCATCCATCTCCATCTTCAGCCCCACGCCCATTTATCCCTGACCAGGGCACCCCCCTCTTCTCCGGCTGATGACCAACTCATGTTTATTAATGACGTCGCCGGGCCGGAGTCTACGGATCAATGGCGCTTTGCGTAAATTTCCCGTAATTGGTTGTGGGCGAGTGGGCGCCGGGTGCTTCTCTGGTCTCCGGTCTCCGGTGTGCGGTGTCCGGTCTCCGATTTCTGGCCGAACCACTCCTTGGCCCAACAATTATTAGTTACGGTTTTGTGTTATTGGTAAATACTTGAGCAGCCGGCGCTGGCCAAGAACGAGGGACAGAAGCCTTGGCTACGGGATCATGACCCCTTCCGTTTTGCGGTTGATTGATTTCCATGTTGATTGCTAAATGCAAATGCAAATGTATCGGTGCTGCTCTCGACTCCGAATTCCCTGAATATTCAATGCACTTGGATCGAGATCTGCTCATATGTCCATGCAGCGCTACCCATGCATGTGCAATGTAATATTTGGTCACGAATTTCTTCCACTTTCGAAGTTGTCTTCGTTACGTGCCGAAAATACATTTTAATATATTTTCTTTTTTGTTGAAATGCACAAATTGTGTTTCATGGGAAATGCACACAGCAAGGTGCATTTCCCATTGATTGCAATAGGGAACTACAAATATCACTTTTGCAAGTACATTTTCCTAGCTTTCATTTTTTTAACTGAGCAGATAATAAGTTACGAAAATAATACATATTTCGAATAAAACGCATACCTAGGCAAATGTCTAGGACCTGTAGCTCTTGACTATACTCACCGATTTGCAGTTCCGTGAGCAACCCATTGGATCCTCCGGCAGCTGGAGTTTCCGGCGTGCCGACTGCTGTGCCCATTCCAAATCGGTTGGCCAATAAAATCAAAGTCAGTGTCAGCCAACATAAAGTTTTACTGTTATTAACACCATGACGCTTAATGCGGCAATAACTTTTTAAATAATTTGTTGCAGGGCGCCTCCAGTCGTGCCCCTCGACCCGCTGACTCTCCTCGCTCTGGAGCTCTGGAGCTCCAGTTGTGGGCGACCATTCGGTTGGCATGTGATTCAGCCTGGCGCTCCGTGAATGAATTGAATTCAATTCTTGTAACTTTATTGCAGGCATTTTGATTTCTCGTATTTTCCTCTGTCCTTTCCTCTCGCGCTTTTCACACGTTGGCCATGCCGACCTGACGGGTGCCCTCCACATTTTATGTTCGGGCTCTGGAAGAGAAGATGGGCAGCGGGTGGTATAGAAATTAAGGTAAATTCTGGACTGGAATTGCTGAAATTGCGCAGCTTAATCGGCGGCACTTTAAGTATGCCGTATGCCAGCCATGCGAGGCCCCGGCCTCCCTAAATACATCATTGTCAGCAAATTAATGTGACGTGACCTTGCAAACTGTCGCGTTTTTGTCACATGACAGCCCCACAGTCCAACAGCCCGACAGCAAAGGAGGCGGCAGGATTTCCCGGGCTGAGCCAGCACAAATTTATGTAAAACGTCAGACGCACTCAAGGGACCGGAGCTCCTACGTCCCCCAGCGGATACGCGTCCCTCGGCGAGATGCCAAAACGTGTCAAAATAAAAAAACATAAACAGCGCGAAAAACTGAGCAAAAGTGGCGTACACAGCCGCCGAAGAAGCAGCTTCTCAGGGGGCTGCGCCTCCCCGGTTTGTGCCCCTCATCGTGACGAACTTCGACTATCAAGCCGCTTAAAGTTGGAAGGGAGTTCAGTACAACACATCTTGCTTACACAATGAATGAGTTTAAATTGCTTCCAATATTCTATAGGCCTATCTATCTTCTATATTGGGCGGCCTAACCAACTATCTCCTCACTTGGTAAGCAGTGTCCTTGGCCCAACTACACTGCCGAATTTGTACTTAAGTGGCGAGAAACGCTGTGAGCAAACTTCTAGGCCTGACAGTTTTAATTTTCTTAAACAGTCCCAAGGGGAAAAGATCAAAAGGCTCCATCAAACAGAAATAACATTTTTCACAGGCATTTCGCCGACGCAAAAATGCACTCGAGCAATTAATAAAATGTGAAATGAAAACGGCAGATGAAAAGTTGGGGGAGTTTTGCCAGATGATGACAATGAGGGCGGTAGGTTGGTAGGGCGGTGTGGGGTGGAAAAACTGGCGCCCACACTTCCTTTCATATGCGAAATGAAAAATTTTACGCCAACTTGACAGTGGAAGTGGCAGCAAAGTTGCAAATGTGCCGCAATTCAGCTGCTGTTGTGCTGTTTCGCTGTTTTGCTGTTTCGCTGTTGGTATCGCTGCTTTCTGGTTTTCGTCGCCAAAGTCGCCAAAAATAAAAGGCATACACTTTTTGCGCCAACAATACCACTTGAGCACACAGCGAGTGGAGCGGCAGTGGTGCAGTGCTCCTAGTCGGAGTCGCCGTCGTGGTCGTGGTCGTGCATAGTTTTTATGGCCACAGGGCGGCCTTTTAACGCCAACTTCGCAGCTCCACAGCTCCACAGCTCCCCCTCCCCCTTCGCGTGGCAGTTGCAGTGGGGCAGTTGCACCGTGGCAGCTGGTCGGCGATGTGGACTCCAGTTGCAGTTGCAAATGGTCTGGCCCGCGGTCTGGAAATTTCTGTTTTTTGCCCGGTAGCTGTTGCTACAGCGAATGCCAATTTGCATGTGACGAAAGCGAAGGAGAACAACTTGCTTGCGAGGCGCCTCGTTTCGAGTGCTCCAAATTGTTGGTGACCTGCCGATGGCCAAGGGTCAGATGTCAGACGAAAGCTACTGCACATCTATTACAGCTCTTGGTAGTGTGTCGTTCCCAATCAAATCGATGTTACTTTTGATGTAAAGCTGATACCCTTACTAAACTGCCCAGTTTTTCAACTGCTATTTTGTATGAGGCGGCTCATGGATTTTTAACATTTTTAGGCAAGTTAAGTATTATTGATATAAGTATTAACATTGTTTCCTATACGTTACAAAGATTATTTAATTAATTAATGAGTTTGCTTTATTACCATAACATTTTTATAATATTTTTGCTTAGAGCTAGCTTAAATGTACTTTACAGAGATTAGATTTGTGCAGATATTTACCTTTTCAGCGTATTATTTGTGTGGGGTATAAATTCATTTCCTGGCTTTGCAAATTGTTCCGTCTATCTTTTTTTCCATCTATTTTTCCCTCAGTGCAATCATCCAGCGTTTTCCCACTCCTCCCGTCTGCGCACAACTCCATCCCAAATCGTCTGGATCTACTTATTTCCCACATAAAATATCCATAACATTACCCACAATTGCCATGCAATTTTAGGACCGCAGAAAGTTAAAAAATTGTCCCACCACCGCTCCCCCTTCCTGGGCCTTCATAATGTTATTGTTGCGGATGCCGTTGCCCGACGCCCACAAAGGGCAAATTAAAAAATGGTTTAAATGGTTTGTGTCTATTAATTTTTCCAAGCTTTCCTTTTTCGCCGGTTTTGGCATTGCCGCCGTCGGCGACGTCGGCAACATGTGTTGCATGTGGCAATTAAATGGTGGAGACACAGCAACATCCACGGTCCAAATGGAAGCAAAAAACCCAACTGCACTGCTGCGGGGCTGGGAGCGGAGGGAAAGTGTAATAATTTACGCGCTGTGCCTGGAAAGGCAAATAAAACTCAACTTTTTAGTGACTCACTTGGCGGCGTTTGGAAATTTTCGGAGCTCGGCGGGGTGCGAAAATAATACGAGCAGCTAGGTACTTGCAACTTGCATTTGGGGGAGTTTGAGGAAATCGGCGGCACGATGTTGCCTCGGCATAGAAAACCATATGAATGGCGTGAGGGGAAGTCTGGCCATCTTTTGTCCGCAACAGATTGCAGAATGCATTACCCGTCTGCTTGGCTTTAATGAATTCACACCTTGAGATTTCTCAGAATACAGAAAACATTATAGTAACTGATAGAAAATTATTTATTTCTTTCAAATTAAAACGCACTAGAAAAACTCCTTTCAGATTCCCTACCATTTAGTGTTCAGACAAACAAAGGCCTTCGGTTGGCCAAATAGTGCCATTATAGCCTTGGCCCTAGAGCTTTTCCATTTGCGGAGTCATGAACATAAATCATCGGAGGGCGGGGGAAGCGAAACTTTCGCTTAGCAAAACGAGAAATTCCCAGAGCCATAATTTTTCAATGTCGCCGACACCGCATAATTGCAGCGCAATTTCCCCGTATTTAATTTCAATGTCTGGCAACCTTAACCTTCCCGAAAGTTCAGTTACAACGCAAGAAGAACGAAAACCGGAAATGCAGGTGGTCAGTTTGGCGAACGGGGAAAAGGACGCGACGAAGGTTCACAATTTATACGCTTCTTTGGCTTTATGTTATTTGGTTAGAAGATGTTTATTCATTCTACAGAAAATTGTTGAACATCTGCCCCGGCAGTAAAGGAGATTAAAGTCTTTTGAAATTAGAGAACACATTTCAATAGACTGAGATACCTATGAGCAAACTAAATAAAAGCGTTTTATCTTTGCTCATAAGAAATTAGGGAATTACCTAGAAACAGCTAAACACGAATCTTTACTTTTACTTACAATAAAATTTTCACTCAATGGCAGAAACATAAACCATCCGGAGGTCCCAGACAAATGCCAAATTGCCTCGTAGCCGAGAAGAAGTCATAAAGGCAACAACCTTTGCCCCGAGCCATCAGAAATGAAAGAGATTCGCCGGAAGACTTCGAGGAGCTTGCGAAATGGCCCACAGAAGGTGGGATTCTGCCATCCCGCCCACTCAGACACACGCATCCCGCGGTGGAGACGGAGACGGAGATGGAGACGTAGACACAACTTTACAAGAAACACCTGTCCACTTCCCCCCACCGAATCCCTGGAAACCCGCCCTCGGCGCCGCAGGAGGAGTGGGTGTACCCGGGTTGCCAGTCTAGTTAGGAAGGGAATGGAATGGAGTGGAGCCGGGCGAATTCGAAATAAAAATGCATAAATAAGAATGATGAAGACGTGAAGGGGGCGTGAATGGAGCGGGGAGTTGCTGCAGCCAGAAATGATTTCAATATCAACACGAATGCCTTTCTGCGCGGTTGTAACTTAAAGAGTCATCATAATATTTTGAAATCAAAGCTGCACCATAAACCGGACTGGGGAATGGAGGTGGGTTACTTTCCGGTCGCAGCTGGCGTTGACACTACCTCGATTGTCTTTCTGTTTTTCCTCATTTTCCTTCGTGTCTGAATGTCCGACCGAGTAATGGGATTTCTTATTTCCTTTTTCGGGGCACGCCCCCTCGTCGGGGGGAGGGGATAAATCCTATTGGTTGGCAACGCCTATCTAATCATTTTCGTGTTGACACTTGACACTTGAAATAAAATGCTGAAATTGCAATGTCTTCGTCTCGCTCGCTGAGTTTTTCCCAGCTCACAGCATCTCGGATGAGTCTGATTTCAATTTTATACCACTTGCCTATCTAGATTTTTAAATGGGTTGGCCAGGCCTCAGAGAACTGACTTGTAGTTGGTTTAAAATGGCTATTTTCTGAGCAATCCAGTTGGAAAATAAGATATATCAAAGTTCATTCAAGTTAGTTAGAATGAGCAGCTATATGAATGAGTGAAAACATTTATGTTTATTTGTGTATGAACTGACAAGTGTACTGGTGTAAATGCATGGAACTTCTATAGCCTCACCCGTTTTGAACATTTTTACCAAAAGTTTTTCTGTTGAAAGCAATAAACCGTATCACAATCTCAAACTGAAGGGGTTCTTCACCTCACGATCGTTTACAGCGATTAGTGGTTTGTATGAACAAAGTGAGTAGATACTACTAATCTGGGCAGGTGGATTTCCAGTTAGTATTCATGCGATACTCAAGCTTGTGGGTAGTAATCAGCCAACACCTTTTTAACGGGGTCGTGACGATTGCCCCTTGGACATACATAGTTTATACTCGTATTTTAGGTTTTTTAAAAATATATTATTATACGTACATAATGAGAAGCGGTTTTCATAGGTGCCGCCAAAAGAAAAACATTTTTCCTTTCCCTGAGCACTTCTTTTTGCCTTTGGATTTCAGCGCGTCATAATCTGATTGGTAGTTATTTAACGTGCTGCTGATCTGGCGGAGGACAATAAATTATGAGCCCGCGAGAATCTTTTGCATCGAATCCGAGGGGCGTTGGGGCATGGGAACATTGGGGCGTGGGATGCAAAGCAGAGTCCGCGCAAATGACGCATGAAAGCAA